GTAATATTTTACCAAAATTTTTTAATTGATTTATAAAAAGTTATGATAACCATTTCATGAAGTTGTTAGAACTTTTAGAGACGAGAGTATTTTTTCGAAAACCGAATTTAGCAGTTTCTTGAAAACTTTCTTAAAATATTCCTAACCCTAAAATATTGCTTTCGTCAGAATTATACTAAATTGTCGAACTTTTTAAATCTTTTCTTATACGTTTTGTTGACAATTTTAAGTACACGAATTAAAAAGAGTTATTCACAACTAAAGTTTCATCGAGAATTACCAGATTTCTCAAAAATCAGGCCTCCAAGAAGAAGTTAAAAAATGTTTTTTTTTCGGAGTTCTTAGAATTCGAATAACGTAAATTGATATTTTGAAACTGTTTATTATAAAAATAAAATAATTTTTAAAAGGTGGACGATACCACTACTTAGAACCCCGTTTTCACGACAATTGGGTCTGAACAACCGGAACAGACCCGGATTCTTAACCGGACAGAGACTGTCAACTGAACACCATGCCTCGAAATTACTTCAGGAATCTTTTCTGTTGCTACAACAAAAACACTACTTAAAACCAGCGTTCGAACTTTATACCGGAGAGCAACAAAAAGTATTAGAATGTGATCGAAAATCATTCAGTATCTCGGAACAAACTTATGCTCTGATAATTTTTTTTTATTTCTTGAACACTCGAGTTTAGAACTTATAGGTCCGACTATCTATCGGATAGCATCTAATAAGACAAGTTGAGCGAAAAATATAGTAAAGTTGAGCTCCTAAATGAAAGAAGCTCTGTAATTGATAAAGCACTCTTATATTATTTTAGTTACGTACATATATGTATCACAGTCGCTTAAGGAAATACCACTTCTTAGCATTTTCATATATTTTTCTATTACTTACCATATATGTATACTATGGTTTTTTTAATATATCGATAAGTATAAATGATAGCGATTTTGACCTCAGACCTTTTTTATAGCAAATAAAATTTCCTACAAATTTATCATCGCCGGTGCGAGCTACGACTTTGTTGCACTGGGCACTTTTTTAGAGTGACAATTCTAAGAAATATGCGTCTAAAGTCAAAGCGATTGCATAAAATACCTCTGATCTGTAGGAATTTAGAGATAAAAGCTCACGATTGTAGTGTATTTTCTATGGACAGTTTTTACATGCCTTGGTCCAGTTCCTAATGTTAATATTAAAGGCTTAAATTTTCAGGGAATTTTCTTTAGGGTATTTCCAAGGAAATTTCGTGAAGGGACTGAAAAAAATGAATAGTTAAAATAAAAAAACACCCTAATATATACATATATATTTCTTATACATAGCTGTAAGTATGAGTGAAAAAAAATTGCGTGCTCGCTGATTGATACGTTTTGTATGGTTTTAATGGCTTTTTACGCGTCCTTAATTGCGCTTTTTGTTTGTTGAAGGGGTGAGTGGTTGAAAGGGGAGGTCGCAGAATACTTAACCGCAAGCGATAAGCTAGTCACACAGTGTGATAGATTTTCAATTGAAATTTCGAACACGTGCTTTTCTCCCCAGGAAGCTGCTCATTTGTCGGAACCGCCGATATCGGGCCACTATCAGATAGAGTTGCCATACAAATTGACCGATCGAACTGAAGTGTTTGTACGAAAAATTTTTTTAGATCAGAAGATAATTACACAAAATTTTGCATAAATATTTGACCAAAGCAACGCCACAATATTTGGTCAAATTGTTCAGATGGGACCGTTATATCATAAGGCTGCCATACAAACTGCTCAATCATAATCAGATGTTAAGATGTTGTCGTTGTTGTTTTTGTAATGGGTACCTAATCGCCGTTAGGATGATAAAAATTAGATAGATTGTCATTAACGTCATCCATCGGTAGGCTCAAGAAACGTACTGTTCCGACGGGGACCATAAGGAGAAAGGTATCAAATGTGTATGGTTAGCAGGGCTTAGAAAGAGGCGACTAGTGTCCTACGGGGGCTCATTGCACGCTGGACATATGTTTGATATGTCCGGGTTTATTCTGAAAAAGTAGGAGTTGACGACAGCCTTAACCCACGGCGCTTAAAAGCACAGCGGATCAAATCAATGCTTTGATCAGCGCAATGAATGCTGAAATGGTCCCCACTAAGCACCTTGGTCGAGTTCGAGGTCCATGCTTTGGGTCCGGCACCCGGTTGCAATGCAACTCCACATTCAACTGACAAAGTCAGTTCTTTCTAATCTGCTACAGTACGAATCTACGATTGGGTCACTCTCGTGGCAACTCCAACCCTTCATCTGCAATGAGTCGTAGTTTGACTACAAGTAAGCCATTCACTGAAAGAGAGCCGGTGTTAATAACTCCAGTATGAATGGCGTATTGTTTTATGTATCGATGTAGTTGAGTAAGGACTTCTTCTTAAAAGGCAGTTCCGCTTCAAGCAGGTGCAGGAATGATTTCTGCGAAGGCATTCCAGCAGTAACTGCTTGGAGAGTTCACTATGCTCCTCAGCTGGGGCATAATGATGCATTCTGTCGAAGTCTGGAGTGCAGTAGTAGTGTACCTTCCTCGTCTCCAGTGCATCTAGGCGACCATATTGGTGCGGCGTAGTTAAGGACCGGCCGACCGATTGCCATATATGTTGCCAGCAACGTTTCTTTGTCTTTTCCCATTTGCTGCCGGCTAGAAATTTGAGGATTTTGTTGACAGTCGGAATCTTAATGCCATCGACTGCAATATTAAGGTCAAGTCTGTACTCCTTCGTCCAGTTTGTGAATATGGTCTCTGTAAATTTAAAGGGGGAGAGGGTTAGGTTTCGTCCAATGAAAAAGCAAGGAAGATCGGAGAGATAGACGTTTAAGTTTGAGCACATGCAATCAATTCCATTGACCGTCGTAATTATTGTGGAATCATCAGTGTACGAGGCGATCGAAATGATAGCTTTGTCTAACGCTGCAAGGATCGTCCTCTCTCAGGGTTGAGGCCATGAACTAGATTGTTAATTTTTACATTTTCAAACATTTGCATCATGGAAATATTTTTCAATATAAAACTGTTTGGCAAAATATTTATCTCGTAATGTGAAATATAATATTGGGTAGTCGAAAAAGTCTTTTCGTATTTTTTCAATACGACATCTATTCGTATATCTCTGGTCCAAAAGTTGAAGTTTGATTAAAAATATGAGGTATCGAAATTATAATAATTAAATTTTATTATGTCAGAAAATATTTCATCTGATCTTTTCCGAAACTTCTCACATTTTTGAAAAACATAAAAATTTCAACAAAAACAAATCCTAACCCTAACCTAACATAGCTTGCGCCAAGCGAATTTATTTTTCTCAATTACTAAAAAATTATTTTCTACTGTTTCTCGAATAATTTAACCAAAACAAATTTTCTCTTCTTCCTTGAATATTGAAATAAATACCACACATATTTATATTCAAGTCTTTTTTTATTAAAAGTAACAAATATTATAAGTAAATCAATACAATATGCTTCTACTTAAGCTAAATAAATATTACAATTGCTACTAAATTACAGTTGCTCAAATGATATGAGGTCCTTGCAAGCACGTTTGGCGGTTACCACGGCGTATGCGTAACTTTTTATACGAGCCAACTCGCACTTTTTGTTTATTTTTAATTATAAAAAAACTTAAAATTAGTTAATAAAATATAAAACAAGTCTAAACTACTAAAACTGAAGATAACGCTTCTATATCTAGCAACTGCAACTACAACCACACTTAGTTACAACTACTTACAATTAACTTTATGGAAGCCTTACGCTACTAACTCTACTAAGCTAGACTTAGATATGCTTACAATCGATTTCCAAATTTTTGTTGTTGCTGTTGTCCGCAAATAAACCAAACACGCATCCAACATGTTTGTTGCCCGCTGCCAACATACAGACAAACTGCACCTAACTAGTTTGCTGCTGACGGCCTAAAAGTATGCTTGGAAATTATTGTTTAGTGAATTAGTGCTACTTAAATGCTTATTGGCGAGTTTTTCTTTCACTGATTCTTGTAAAATTTGTGCGCTCCGTATTATTAACTTGAACTAAAGTGAAATTATATAATAAATATGCTGATTTTCTATATTCCACATATTTGCTATTGTATTTGTTATAACTAGACTTAATTAATTTGTAATTTTATTAAGTACCGTTGCTTAGCTTAGACCGATGTTTCGTAAATGACAATTTTTAAGACTTTGGGCTTGTTCTCTTGCGCTTCTTTGACCTCCTTGAGCAGCGCATTGGTGATGGCTTCCAGCGCGGCGATGTCGGCGTTGTCCTTCTTCGTGCCGGTATTCCATTTGGGCATTGAAACCTTTTTCGTAGAGATGTGAAGATAATAAAATAAATTTTTTTAGTTAAGATAGTTTTATGAGGCGCTAATAAATATGTTTTTAAGGCTTATTTGAATACATGATATGCAGTAAAAGCTTAAGAAGTGGAAGCTCTAAAATTCTGCGAGCTTTTTATGAAAGCTTCAGCTATAAATTAAGCTTATAAATATAATTATGGCTAGTTAAAGGAAAATGTATACATATTTTTGTAATTAAATTTTACTAAATTGCAAGCTTGAGCGATTTTAAAGCAGAGCATAAATTTCAAGGTCATGTTAAAAGCTTAGGCAAGCAGCCGCTTTTTATATTTTATTAAAATATTTTGATTGTGAATTCTTTGATTTTTTTATACTGCTTTTTTATATATATTTCAAAGCTTGGCGCCAAAAAGTAGTCTAAAAATATATTTCAATTTACGTAAAAGCATTAGGTAATTTCTGAGGCTCAAGTAGTAATATAAGTTTTTCGTAAAGTATTTGCATTTAGTACAGCGCGCCTACAGTGCAAACTGATTGGGATAAAATTATTTGAATTTTTTATTTTAAAAGTATACGAGGTGTGCTCGAAAAGTTTGGCGAGCTTTCACTTTCACATTAATTTATCACTAATAATTCAAACTTTCTTGATACGCCGCCAATTTCGCTATCTTTGATTTCTTTTCCAACCCTACGGTCGGGTTATTGTTCAGAGAAGTACTAGAAATAGTCTTCCTTCTTGTATCTTCATTCACGGGTGAGGCCGGAATCACTGCTATACACGGCAGTTAAAGTTTTTGTTTTATTTAATAATATATATAGTAGAAATATCAGAAATGGCATCGTAATGGTCGACTTTTTTTTTTTTTTCAAAACATTTCAGAATTTGTTGTTAAAAAAACAATATTTTATAGAAATATTAATTTCAAAATAACATATTATCCCAATCCCTTTTCACTGTCTTATGTCGCATTATTTACAGTTTTTAAAACGTAAAATAACCTGATAAGCTTACGGGTAGTAATTTCTTTAATTTTACATCATCTACAGAACGCTATAGTATGGAAGTTAAAAAACAATTGAAAATAGATTTCGAAACATGTGATTAGTAGAAAGTGTTAGTAACGACATATTATATAAAATGGGGAAATATTTAAAAATAAAATACAATTATTAAAGGCTCTATACAAATAGCTACAAATGTATTTTTTTTATATCTAAAATCGATATAATTGAATAATTGGCATTAATTAAAAGTATTTAAGAGTTTGAGGTAAAAAATTTGCTCAGATAATAAATACTATATGTATGTACAGTCACGAACTACCAAAATATTGAAATATTTTCAGAGGTATCTTTAGAGATTGTAAAAAATTATTGTCTACCCGAAACGCAAATCAATTTTTATGTTTGAGAACACGTACACGGAGATACAAAAATATATGCCGAAGGTCGACTGAAGTTGTTAAATTGATTTTCATAAATTCAGACCTTTTTGTGATTATATTTCCATTGCGAATTCACCGAAATTCAGTTTACTTTCAGTTCAACTACAAGGTGCGTTCCAAAGCAAACTCTTTACTTAAGACTTTTTGAATCTAGCGCCACCTGGTGGCGCCATCTATATGTCGTTTGGTGCGTTAGAATTTGCTATCTTTATCGATCGTGCGAATTTCTAGACATTTCATCCATTGCAAGTGAAGTTATTGCGTTTTAAGTGTCAGTATGTTTGTGTGATCGGTACAAAAATGAGCTTCGAACAAAGAGCCAACATTAAATTTTGTTTAAAATTGGTAAAATTTTTACCGAAACATTTCAATTGATGAAAAAAGTTTATGGCGATGATTGCCTATCCCGCAGCAGAGTGCAAGAGTGGTTTCAATGTTTTCGTGAGGATACAAATGACGATCAACATGTGGGCCAATGAATTTATATAAAATCGGAAATCCGTGATCACCGGAAATTCCATCGAAACTGTGCGTGAATTCATCAAAAATTCATCAAAAATCAGCCGAATTCATCATTGAAATTCATGAAAATCGAATTGCACAAATATCGATTTATCGCATTTTGACCGAACTTTTGGGCTTACGAAAGGTGTGTGCACGGTTTGTGCCGCACAAATTGACTGACGACCAAAAATTGCTCTCATAGATCGACGCTTGTGACCGATTATTTGACTAAAAATTATAATTTTAACTAGCAACCTCTCCCTATATTCACCTGATATGACACCGTACAAATTATATTCTACCTTGATGAAACCCATATAAAGGTTAGGTTAGTTTAGGTTTTGTAGCCTAAGAGTATAAACAGTGTGATACCAAAAATTGCTCAAGTTGAAATGAACCTTGAGATACAAGTACGAGTATAGACGAAAGACCATGTAAAGCATGCTGTGTCGTTTAACAGGATGAAGTTTTTATAAATCAGCAAGAAAATCGTCAATGGCAGTTGCAGTTAGAGCAACCAATAGTGTTCGCATAAGATAGCACGATGAGTGTGGGAATTCAACTGAACTCTTTTAAAGAGAGTAAATTGGTTTAGGTGTCGGTATTGGAAAGTAGATAGAACTGTCGGGATTTTATTAGAGAACTCATCAACAAAGAATAAGCCATAAGATTAAGAGCTGTAATATGCCACTAATCCTCCATTATTATCTGAATTCGAGTTTTAACAAACTTTTTCATTAGTACGCTATTTACATATTTACATTATGAAACATACATTCACAGTTATATAGTAAGCCATAATATAATTATTTCTTTTAACCAATAATCCATATTAAAAAGTAACTAAAACTATTGGCAGTAGTTTTTGTTTATCGAAAGGAAAAATCCATAAACTCTCTGTACAATTAAAATTCCCCGCCAACCTTCCTTATATATGAGCGAGTACAAATACACAAACATACATACCGTTAAGACTTTTTGCAAGGCCATGTAGTCCAAGCCATAGCCAGCAGTTTCGCCTAGACGCCGCAAAGTCTCCGCCATCGGACCGGAAAGTTCCTAGCAACAATAAAAAAGGCAAAAAAAAAAAAAAAACAAACAAGAAAAACAAAAAGGCAGATGAAAAACGAATTGGAAAAAGAGCGCATACGCGTAGACAATAACAAAAGCGAACAAAGAAGTAAAGTGATACAAAAGTTTCATAATTGATTTAGCGCAAACGCTTCGAGAATTTATTGCCATGCAGCTAATAATAACCGTTACGCAGCATGCAACACTCACTTGCAGCTTCGCCCAACTGGTGGCATATTGCCGGCGCACCAGCTCGATAATGGTGGAAGTTAGCGCCAGACCGATGAGAATGTATAAAGTGCAGAGCAGCATGTAATTCGGTTTTTCTGCAAAGATGAAAAAATAAAAAGAAAATAAATTCAATTGTGATGATAATGAGCGGAAGAGTGACGGGAGAGAAGAAGTGAGAAAAGCGCCAAAACATGATAGCTGTACATACTCGGCACTAAATCGCCGAAACCGATGGTTGTCATTGTGATGAAGCAAAAGTAGAAACCGTCAAAGAATGTCCAGTCATCTTCCCACAGCAGCAGCAACCAAGCGCCCGCAGCCAAGTAGACGCCCAGAAAGCAAACGGCCAAAACGGCGTAGAACCATGTTTTGCCAATGAAATTCGTAAAGCTCGGAAATTCTGTGTAAAAGATGTTATAAACGGAAAAAATAAGATGAGAGAAATATAAAGGATGCGCTACTGGACTACACTTATGGACAAAATAAAAAGTGCAGTTGCTATAATATTAGTATTAGGAAGATGAGACGAGACTCTTGGAGACTGGTCTCTGAATATCCATAGTAAGACTCCGTTGAATGAGGTAGAAGAATCCGGGCCTCTGAAATACTATTCGACGGCACTTAGAACATTATCTAGAAATAGTTTTCAAACCCTTAAAGATCATCACCTCACCGTTCTCAGTAAGTGTCATCTTACCGCAATACTCTTACGTCCTAACCCTGGATCTCTGGCGCGAGTTGACTTAATACGGACCGCAAGATATTCACTGAACTACTTGTTCTCAGTAAGATTCACCTCAGCGCAACGATGCATTGTCGAATAGGCGTGCATGAAGCTGATAATCTTAACGGACGCAAACTTTCAAGGCTTTGGAAAATTTAGGTACTTTCTCCGCCCATACCTAGCATATTCAGGACTGAGGTTGAGATACATCGGCAGTCGGCGAATCTGATGCAACTGATATTAGCCGTTTCAACAAATTTATTTAAGTTTTATTATTTTTGTGGGTCTTTGCGTTCACTACTTAGGAGTATTTGAGTATCACAATGGACCGGTGTTCTCAGGCATCCAAATGGGATACCTGTTTCGAATCGACATTTTATTCTAACTTAATCCACGACACTTCTGTACATTGAACATTGGTTTAGATTTTTGTCAAAATAAGTCTCTAAAAAAGCAGGGTAAATTAAAAATTCTGATTAGAGTCTTAGAATATTTGTTGAGATAGAGGCTTTATGGGATCTAAATTGATCAATTTAGTCAGGAATAAAAAAGAAATCAGAGATAGTGCTGAAAGTCTGCCGTGATGACACACAGTGCCTACTCTACATACGAAGAACGAAAAAATTCTAGAAAAAGGTTCCAGAAAATTCCACAGGGTTTGATATGAATATGTCTTCGAAATAGCTAAGCCATGTCGTCCGAATGGATGAAAACACTCCAGCTCTGAGGGTATTCAACGCAATTCCCGCCTGGGAAGCGGAGGAAGATGAAGAGCTCCACTCCATTGGAAAGACCAAGTGCAGAAGGACCTGGCTACACTTGGAATTTCCAACTGGCGCCAAGCAGCGAAAAGGAAAAGCAGGTTGTAAATTCGGCAGTAACCGTGGATTGATCTATTGATATAACTTGTAGATAATACGGATCGCTCTAAGCAATAATATAACTCAACTGTACTTATTATTTGGACCACAGCTGTATTTTACCTGTATAGTAATGAACACTTTCGCAAAGTCTTTTGTCGCACTACTTACTTGGCATATATTTGCCCAACACCGAGACGGCCGTCGCGAAGAGCCGGCCCCAATCTGCGATGACGGTGAGCGTAAATGGAATGCCGATCAGAGCGAAGCAAATGCAGAAAGCACGTCCGCCCGTCGTTACGGGCACTATATTGCCATAACCTAAAAATAACGGTAAAAAGTAAATATATATTTTTATGCGCCTGCAGGATGAAAACAACAACACACACATATTATATTATGTTAGGATGCAGTGCAGTGTGACGAAAGGGAAATGCGGAGCGAAAAGTTTTTCTTGTTCGTAGCATGACTTACTTCCCTTTCCCCTGAAACGCCAGACGTTTATAATGCGGCATGTGTTATATTTGTCTGCCTGTTTATTATTCATTTGTGTTTTTGTTTATATTTCAGGCGAACATCTTCATGTAAAAATAATATTTCAAATTGCTTTTGTTGTCGAGGCTTTCAGGCACAGTGGGAACTGTTGCTCTTAGCATTTCTGTGTGTGTGTGTGTATGTGTTAATCGCAGCGCTGCCTTAGCACTTACCTATTGTCGTTAACACAGTCGATGAGAAGAACACAGCTTGTAAAATGCTCCAGCGCTCATAGGGCTCTGGAAAGTCTTTATCGGCCTCAATGAGTAGACCACCCTCGGCGGCTTCCTGCACGGCCTGCGTGAGCGATAATGAGTTGTTTATTATTAATATTTACACTTAAGGGTTTAGATATGTGTGTACGAGTGGGTCGATAGGTAAATATTAGTTGATATGATATGTGTAATGGCTTTGTCTTGTTTCGCGAATTTACATAAATTATTATTTTTTTTTGTGTTTATATATATATGTATTATAAACATTGAGAAATTACTGAGCTTAAAGCTCATTTGCTGGGGTTTTCTTATTTCTTTCGAATAATAGCGGGATTCTGTAAGCAGTCTCTAATCTCTGTTTGAGACATTTTGTGGTAAAATCTCAATTTGTGACTAGTTACTATTCATAAAAAAGTCTCTAGCTTTAGCCTCAAAATATTGCCTCAAATTTGAGACCTGGTAGTTAGCAAGTCACAAAAAACAAAAGGACTCTTGTCTGCCATTTTGAATATACTGAGCAGAGATCATCATTAATATTAATCGATTGTAATTTTTTTATATTTTGTAAGCAACTCAAACACAAAAAGGTTAAAAATAAATCAATTTTACAAAAATTTCGAAAATATTATGAAACAAAATCAACATATAATTTTATTTTGATTGATAATTATCTTTTTTGACTATGTTATAGAAAATTTAATTTTGGTTATCGACATATTTATTTTCATCCAAGTTTAAAAGCATCTCTGAATTATTAAATGTAATAKATTTTGTGACTGTCACTTACAGAATAGCAAAATCGTCTCAAGTGTCAAAAATTGTCTCTATCAAAATTAGAGACTTGATACTGTATCACCGTACAGAATCGCACGGTAAATGTAATTCTAGTAACGCCAAAAAAAAATTCGTATCTAAATTTTTAACCCACAACTTCTCTGGTGGAGATTAAGATAGTTCTTCAGAATTAAAATTAATGAAACGAAAAGAGAGGCTTAAACTAGGTAGATAAAAGTACTTATATACTTATCATTTTGTAAAGCAATGCAATCTTCGGGTTTTTTTTGAAAAATTCTGAAAAATTTCAAAATTCAGAAAATAAAAAAAAAAAAAACAAAAAAGGCGCCAACTTTGGCTGAAATGAAGCCGAAATAACCTACATAAACAGTGTAAAAAGATCTTTATCTTGAATCTGATTGGCCGATTTGTATGACAGCTAGATGCTATAACGATCGGATCTGAACAATTTGTTTGGAAGACCATAAATTTTGTTAAATATCGTTAAATATTCCGTCATATAAAAAAGTTTTCCATACAAGGAAACGATTTTGATCGGTCAGCTTGTGTGACAGCTACTTGAATAGTAGTCCGATATCGGCGGTCCAAAAAACGAGCAGCTTCTTGGCTAGAAGAGGACGTATGCAAAACTTGAACTCAATATCTCAAAACCTAAAGTCACGTTCACGTACAAATGGACTGCGGTTATTCAACGTAGATACCTGGCGTCGATGGCTTAACATCAAAACAATGCCTCGGTAAATAAAAGGACTATTTGGTAAGGTGGAATGACACTTAAATCGTACATGGTCGGGATCGAGGCCGATATACAGGGTTGCAGCGTCCGTTAGAATAAAGGTACGCAATTTAATTATGTGAGAAACTCGGTAAATCTGCTACAGAGACGTTTGATATGATTAAGCTTATCTTTGAGTATGATGACGACACAGAGAGGCAGTCTTCCGAGTGCCACACGCCGGCGTCTCCTCGGCCAAAAAAGGAAAGAAAGAGCAAATCCAAAGTTAAAACAATGCTTTTGTTCATGCATCGCCTACCCTGAATTTATTCACCCTGGACAAGCCGTCAACGCCAAGTTCTACTTGGAAGTCCTCAAGATACTCAAACTAAGGGTCAATCGGGTCCGACAAGACCCGATTCATTATGATTTTTTTCATTGAGTTATAAAATTCATAAGAAATAAAAAATTTTCCCAAAAATAATCAAACTTTAACTGTCAATATCTTTTAAACGGTTGGGTTTACGGAAACATCGTACAGACCTTTTGGGCAGAGCATTCAAATTCCTACAAAATCTAAGCAACAAGATATTTTTTCAAGTATATATGATAATAAGAAAAAATAGAAAATTGTAAGTAGGAGGACCTTCCCGTTACAATTAAGAACTCATTATTGGAGAGGCTTCCTTAGAGGTGTCAAGGAACTCATTTTTCAGAGTACTAAACGAAAAAAAAATTTTTTTTTGAATCACCCTAGTGTATATACAAATTAGTACGAATGAAATATTGTGACATTTTTCGTTGCTTAGAAGTCATCATGTACCACAATGAGGTCATTAGCGTGCTCTCTTATCGCAAACAAAAATAAGACACAACAATAAATTATTATTATCAAATTGAGCGGCGTTTAGTGCACAAACTATTTTTTAGCTTGGATTAAACTACAAGAGCGTGAATTAAAGTGTGACTCGCATGGCAGATGATTGAAGCGATTGCCGATGTGGCGTTGGTGGTGTAATGGTCAGCATAGTTGCCTTCCAAGCAGTTGATCCGGGTTCGATTCCCGGCCTACGCACAACAAATCTTTTATATAATTTTGTTTCGCTATTATAATTTTTAAAACACACTAATACGTAAGTAAATAAAATTGCGTCTAACCAAGTATCTCTGATAAATTGTTCATACTCGTCCCTAATAGGTCAGTGCAGTGAAGCCTTTGAAAATATATTAAATATATATAATTATAGTGGAAATATTTTGACAATTTTTTCTAAAAACCCATTCATATTCTAACAAAACCAATTTTTGGAAATTTCCCTCTTCCGGCTGTACTTACCACCTCGTATTTTGCTAATTCCTTCGCTACTAACTCGTTGAAATTTAACACATCTGTATTATTTAAAATGGTCGTGATGAATTTTTCGCGATGTGTCTTTACAACACCCTTTAAATACTGTAAACGTTCCAGTTCCGCAGGACGTTCCAGTTGACGGAAGACCTGAAACGATAAAAACAAAACAACAACTATAAGAAATTTGTCTAAAGAAAGTTTATAAATATAATCTGCGTGCTTCGTGCGCTATTTTCAGCTTTTATTTACCTTCGTGGACCACAAAGCAAAATTTCGTAGAAAAAAAAAAGAAAAACAAACAAAAGGCAAAAATGCGACTGGAAATCACCAAGAATTATTCTGTGCTGTGTGCATACGGATATTTGCATGATCTCTCGCTGTGTCTGTTGCTTATCTCACGCTACTCACGGACAGCTCGTTTCAAGCAAAGTAGACAGCTGTTCGGCCGGTGGCGCGAGGGGCCGGCTACACTAAAGAGTCTATTGTGCATTTGAATGGCTTCCTGCGAATTTGACGGATTACTTGTTCATTTAGGAAAACAGAGCTGATTTGTGCCGTCGTGCTTGTGTTTTGTGCATCAAATCGAATTTTTATGAACTTATGAAACAGTAGGTTCGACTTTCGGATGTGTGAAAGCATGTGTGTGTATGTGTGTGGGGGTGTGTGTGTGTGTGTGTGCATATTTTCTATTTTCGTTTATGGTTTCGTGTTCGTTTGGCGGTTTTGTGGTAATTTTGTGTTTGAAAAGTCTTTATTGATCTTTTATACGAGTGCAGTTAGTCTGGAACTGCAATAAATACGTAATTAGGACAAAGCAGTTGTTTACACTTTACGCTTTTATTCTCATAAGTAGACTAAATTTAGTTGTAAACACAAATTTTACAACGTTAGAAAAAAAAAAAAATTTTAAAAACTTTTGAAAAAATTTAAATGTTTTTTGGATTTTTTTTTAAATCTGAGAATTGTGTACTAAGTAAAACCTTTTTGACCTCAGCATTCTTACACTCTTTGTCTACTAATAAAAGGCCAAAAAATAGAAAGCAATTATTAATAGAAATGATACCTAATCAATTTTGAACTCTGTTTTAAGAGATTAGAATTAGTGCTCTGAAAAATCTGAACCAAAAATTTAATAAGAGCGCTCAATTTGTTAGAGCCAAAAATAAAAACGGCCTTCTTTGTCTTTTTAAGAATTGTGAAATTATTGATTAAGTTTTATTGACAAAAATTTAACACAAAAACTTATCGATAAAAAAATAAAATATTGATACTGAAGCAAAGAATTCTTACTGCTTATGACGACAAGGTAAAGTCATCTAACTATCCTTACTCCTTACTCAATCGTCTGAAGCGCTTAGTTAGCGTTCATAAGCAGTTATTGAAAATTATTACGGTTATTTACATGGTTATTAATTTCAATTCTAATATGTTTTAAAACTTTCTGAGCTCTATTGCTATCTCTCGAACATTTACCTGATGATTTTCAAACGCCATATCCTTAATTTTTTTTTTAATATTTCCATCAGTTGAAAATGTCGAAAGTCGTCCAGAACGAGGCATGTCGACCGTTTTTGAAGGCTTTGTAACACTCGTACGCTTGTGTTTTTACTAAAACTGAATTACCATAAGCCTTTTCCAACAATCGCAATGATTGAGCACACGATATATGTATGTAAAAGATATAGGATTTTAAAAAAGAAGCTCAACTCTGGTCCCGCTCATATCGGAATGGCAATAAGTTGGATCTTTATTGGCATCTAGCGTTCTAGCATTGCACCAATGGGTCTCGCAGGTGCTTAGCAAACCGTGGTCTAGGATCTGTTTCTGTGCGACTGCGAGATCCTTTTAGTTCAAAGCAAAATGCCGAAGATCGATTGAAGTACTTGCCTTTAACAAAATTCATTTTGCCGTATTTGAAAAAGTTGTCAAAGTTGTGTAAAGCAAGGTGAGGTGGTAACATTCCAATGACTGAGGTCCAAACATCTCAGCAGTTTTACTTTAGACAAACTAGGAGACATACGCTAAACTAACATTAACAGCCCTAACAAATTTGTTAGAGGCTTCAAGCGCTTTGATGATTTGTGAGGGTTTTATGTTCTAAGCTGTCCAAAGGAGATCTCTGTTAGGATTAACATAGTAACCTAACACTAAGCTAAGCTAATAAGTTTATTGATCACATAATGGTAGGCTCAAGAACTCAAACATATGTGAGAAACAGAAAAATTATTAGAATAAAAAATTAAATTGAAATATCCCACAATATGTTCAGTCTAAACCATAATCGAATATTGAAAGTATTTACAAAATACATTCTAAAATTAATTTAAAGTTCGTCGGTTTTGCATGCGCAATACAGGATTTTGCTGCGACTATTATTGGATCGAGGTATAACGAAAATTTTGTAATTATCTCATCTACAAAATTTATAGCATATTTATAGTATTGTGTACGAAATCTAATGATAGTGAGAACGGATATCTAAAAATGCGCCAACAACGTCATCGAATCTAATTGTTTTGTTGATGAATGCGTTTGCCTGGCAACATTTGTCTTAATTATTGAGAAAGTGTGTGCGCAAGCTGTTATATAATATATGTAAGCAGAAACAGTGTGTATAGAGCAATTTACACTAACCAATTCATTAATCTTGTTCCATTCAGAAATAGCCCAAAAGTTATTGATATAAACAAAAGTGCGAAATTTTCGAAAAATGATTAATGGAAAGTAAAATTTCTTATTTCGTAGAATATTTATCACCAGTATTTGCGTATATACAGTAAAGTAGCTTAAGTTGATTTAAGTGGAGACGGAAAGTTTTAGAAAATAATAAAATTTTGATTTGGCATTGCGCTTTATCTCCATAAGGCGGGGGAGCTTTAAGTTACTCTTTTATTAAAATAAAAAAATAGTGTTATGCATACCTATATTACGATGGAAAGTTTTCACACTGATCACATTTGACCCGGACTGACAAAAAATTTCACATATTAAACATTTTTATTATCCACTTCGAAAAGACTAATAAGGCATGAGAAGCATGCCAACGCGAAATCCAATTTTCCGTGCACTTGTCATAAACCTCGGCTGAAATGACCTTACATGCTTTCAGCGATTTCTTTTTTTGTTTTGCTTGGTTTCGGCTCACTTTTGGACCGCTATTCGTGAGGTTGTTGGATAGATTCGATATTCATAAACACATATCTCTCCACCAGTTTGGCAGTGCGGCATGTATGTATGATCCTCGGCTACGTTGTCAAGCATCTCTTTCGCGATCTCTACTTGACGTTGCTTTTGCAAAAGTTTTCGGTTTCTTGGTCTTGGCGTTGTCACGGTTCATACCTGAAACATTAACCAAACTGAATTGAGTCGATACATAGGAGATGTTTGAGATCCTCTTCTATCCCTTTGACGCCACTGGACGATTTTGAAGCACTAATTCTTTAACTTTTTTTATATTTTTGAATCACATGAGGTAGGTCTTCGATGACTTCATGATCTTTGATTGATTGATTGATTTGATTGATGAAGCCATTTGCCACTCCAATACTTGTGTTCGTGATAAAATTGACTCCTCAAAATACTTCTGCGACACTTTTAACAACTCCTTCGCAGTGATTTCATTTGAAACACAAAATTTCAACCAAACTCGTTGTTCAAGTTTTTTTTCCATGGTAATAATCGTCAGAAGAAACGTTTGCGTCATAAGCAACTGCCGTTCGCATCGCAGCCGGGTCTACGCTACTCGAACGGAACCGATTGTTAACTAGAATTCTGCCGCTACAACAACAACGTACTAATTGTCAAATAGAGTTCAAACATAACAGGAACACAGGAAGTTGTGAAAATCTAGGGTAAAATGTTTTTCTTTTTATATGGACCAGTCCGACTCAAATTTGATCAGTTGGTATAAACTCTTGAAATAACTGGTACTCCATACAATAAGATTTAAAAAATTTCATGCTTTAATTTTTCATATGTTCAGGGAGCACCTTGTTGTTTTCATATTTCTAGTCACGTGACATCATTGAAAGAAGCGGAGAAATCAATAAAAAAGTCACGTTTTTGCTGGCACCCCATAGGCCAACTGTTAATAACCATAAGCATAAAAATGTGTAGACTTCTTTGCATAATATATAAATATATTTTTCTAGTTGGAAACAAAAACACGCGCGTCTTGTAATGACCTCGGTAAGGTACTTACATGCTCACAGCTGAATGTCTAAAATATCTAAATAATAAATATATGAGTAGGTGTGAACTTATAGGAATTAATATGCGAGACGCCTTTTCTTCTTATGTGGTTTATTCAATTTCTTGTATGAATCTTAGATATGCCGGCTTGTTATCCGTGAAAAGGAATAAATACAACATTTTATGTCGTTAAGGCGAGTTTCGAGATCTCCGTTTCAATAAGATAACAAACAATAATAAAAAACATTAAATTAGATAAAAAATAAAATTAAAAAATACTTGGCAACCCTATGTTAGGATGTAAATACTGCAAGCAATATTTTTTTTTTTTAGTAAATAGGAGATCGACTAGTAAAGCTGTACAACAATGCCCCTCACAATTTTATTAGGTGCTACTGTAAACTCCTTTACCTAAAAATTTTTGAGGAGGGTTGCCACCTTTTATTATTATTTTTGAACATTTTCATATTCAATTCATAAAAAGAAGTAAGCACTACAACACTAACTGATGAGATACACCAAATTGTCAATGGAAGACTAAAAAAGTATAGTGATTTTGAGGAATGTAGCCAACTGTTTTAAAATTGTACTTCAATAGATTTTCGTAATCTTGATATTTTAAAAGTTTAAATATAAGATTTCAATGTGGAATGCAAATAAAAATCTTAAAAAAAGCTCTTTAATCAAACTATTTGCTGAGGAGAGTGGCCACATTTTTATAATTTAACTTCAGTAAAATTGATAACGGTTATGCCGCATTACAATATAAATATCAAATTAAAGTGATTTAAGAGCTAACTAAGCTTGCATTAAACTAAAAATTTGAGAAGAGTTGCCACATGCTTATATTTTTAACTAATTTGAGTTCCTAAAGTAAGTTAAGCGCTACAACACCGCAAAAAAATTAAAACAAAAATTCAAAACAAAAAAAAAAAACGAATTTTATTTTAACTATT